GGGGGGACCAGAAGGGTTTGGGAGAGACCTTGTTTCCCCTAGCGCCCGCTGGCATAACAAGGAATAATGGCCCCAAGTTGTTGGAGAGTAGGTTTAGATTAGACATCCATAAGAACTACTTCACAGTCAGGGCGACTAGGAGCTGAAACCAACTTCCAAGGGAAGTGGTGCTGGCTCCTACCCTGGGGGTCTTTAAGAGGAGGCTTGATGCCTACCTAGCTGGGATCATTTGAGCCCAGTTTTTTCTCCTGCCCAGGCAGGGCATCGGACTTGAAGATCTACAAGGTCCCTTCCAACCCTATCTATGATTCTATGAAATGAGGAATACTGTGTTTTTCTCCATTTTTCTGTGTGAAACAGAAAACCTGGGTCCCCAATAATCACAAAGCATGTCTACCATTATAGACAAACCCAAGCTAACTTTAAACTAGCTAGTGCAAGTATCAGTAGCAGTCTAACCATAGCAGCACATAGTCCATCATGAGCAAAATTGTCCTGCTTCTCAACTGCTTGCAAAGATTGTGACTAGAGCTTAAAAACACCCTTTGTTTTAGATATGAATGATCACTCAGCTTTCCAAGTCACCACTTAACTCAGCCACTGAATTAAGTGGAAAAAAACCCATGAGTTAAGGAACACCATCAAAAACATTTGACCAATTCCTTTGCACTTTTGGATGGGTGTAATGAATTATTTTGTCTTGATCTCCAAATAAAAAACAGTGTGTTTTCAGACTTAGTGTTCATTTTTCAGGTAACAATTACATGTAGTTGCTTTGCAACACAAAAAGAGAAAACAGTGTTGTTCTGTAGATCAAATTCTGCACTCTCACTTTAGTGGGATGCCTGAGCAAGATGTTCAGGATTTGGCTATATATATAGAATATTTTGACAGAAGGGTGACAGAAGGAAAGAAAATATAGTGTCTCATTAATACAACCAAATAATATTTATAGAATAAAAAACTAAAAATATGTATTCAGCATATGGATAACTTTTAATAGGAACTCTATTTCAGTGAACTAACAGGAAATTTTAAGAGTTAATTTAAGAGTTAATTTAGGTTAAACATTACTCTTGCAGATTATTCAGTTAGACTTATTGAGATTACAGTTTTTAAAAAATTCTTTTGAAAGAAAAGTACCATTTATCTAATCCAGTTCCTTAAGAAAATATCCTAAGGTGGCCTCAGGAGTCTTCATTTACCTAATTTAATAAGAGGGTAATTTATATTCCACAGTCAGTAACTTGTGATGAATATTACTATATTTGCAAGTTTACCTTGGCTATCATGAAATATCTACATATATTTTACTACATAAAATTAAATGAATAGGGTCTTCTGAGATAATGCAGTTATTTTAGATCAATGCACTATAATATTTTCCTTTTTTTTTTTTAAAGGTATTTTCTTTGCTTCAAATATATGAAAATGAATACTTAACCCATTGAAATTACAATCTTTCTTAAAATTACTGCTTCTAATAACTACCTAACTTGCTTGCTAATTGTCATCTCTAATCTCTGCCAAAATTTTTTTGGAAAGTAATTCTTGATTCAACAGACTCTCTTTCAGTGGTTTTCAAACTGTTGAATGTGCACTACACAGAGCTTAGACTAAATTTCTGAAAAACAGCTACCAAAGACATAAATGATAGAAGGTATGCATCTAACCACCTGATTGCACTGAGAACTGCTGTTGCTATTTAAATTAAATCTATGACCTGCTGATTTCAATGTTAAGACTCTCACAGATTTCAGCAGACCGGATTTTAAATTTCGTAGTTTCATAGTTAGTAGGGTCAGAAGAGACCTGAGCAGATCTTCAAGTCTGACCCCCTGCCATAGCAGGAAAGAGTACTGGGGTCAAACGACCCCAGCAAGGTGTTTGTCTAGCCTCCTCTTAAAGACCCCCAGGGTAGGAGCCAGCGCTGCTTCTCTTGGAAGTTTGTTCCAGATCCTAGCCACCCTGACAGTGAAGTAGCGCCTCCTGATGTCTAATCTGAATTTACCCTCTGCCAGCTTGTGACCATTATTTCTAGTCACTCCTGGGAGTGCTCGGGGGAACAGTGATTCCCCCAGTGCCTGCTGGTCCCCTCTGACTAGTTTGTACCAGGCCACTAGATCCCCCCTCAGCCTTCTCTTGTGGAGGCTGAACAGGTTCAGGTCCCATAGCCTCTCCTCGTAGGGCCTGCCCTGCTGCCCCCTGATCATGCGAGTGGCCCTCCTTTGGACCCTCTCCATGTTGTCCACGTCCCTCTTGAAGTGCGGCGCCCAGAACTGGACTCTGTACTCCAGCTGTGGCCTGACCAGTGCCGCATAGAGGGGGAGGATCACCTCCTTGGACCTGCTTGAGATGCATCTGTGGATGCATGACAAGGTGTGTTTGGCCTTCCTGACTGCATCCCCACACTGCCGGCCCAGGTTCATTATGGCATCACTGATGACTCCAAGATCCTTTTCTGCCTCTGCACTGACGAGAAGGGAGTTCCCCAGCCTGTGGGTATGGTGCTGGTTCTTCCTCCCCAGGTGCATCAATACTCAATTCTAAAATGTATATCCTGAATTTTAAAATGTATATCCATTAAACACTAAATTTTAAAATGTATATCTATTTCCCATATTATAAGATATGTTTACCATATTATAAGTGTGATCTGTAGTCCTTATTCCGAGACTTTGTATTCACATTAGGTTCAAAATGATCCGGATCAGCCTGTGTAAGTGATCTGTCATGATCCTTGTTATTCTGTCAATTATTTGTTTTATCTGCAATATTTTACCAACAGTGATTTTATATTTTCTTCCAAATATATTAAACACATTGGGCCTGGAATCAGTCATGCACTACCCACAAAATTTCCCCTTCAGGATGCTAGATCTAACAGTTAACCAATCTTTATTCCATTAAATATCTACTAGATTGACTTTTGTATACAGCTAATATTTTTTAAATTGGAATGTCATGCAGAACTAAGTCATTTGCTTTACACAAGTCATTGTGTTAACCAAACTTGTAAGCACATTAAAAAATGATATCAGGTTTGACAGGACCTATTTTCTCTAAAACTATGTTGACTGATTTCAGTTACACTACTGTTATTTAATACTGTATCTTCTCATATACCTCACTCCTCTTGTTTTAGGAGGCAGAATATTGCGGGGGAAGAGAGATTTTTCTAGTGTATGGCCTAATGCTGGCTCTTTTGTAGAGAGGTTGTGATGTAAAGTTGCTGCTGCTGCTGCTGCTTCTTAGCCAGCAAGCAGCAGGGGTAGAGTCCAGTGTTAACCCTTTAACAATTTGGCAGTGGTTTTTGGGTGCTTAGCCAAAAGCTACTGGCAATTCAGTAATGGCTGTGAAAGGGTAGAACTGAACTTTACCCTGCTACTTCATGGTTGAGAGAAGAGCAGCAGCCCTTTTGCAACACAGCTTCTCCATGCTTCTACTCCTCCATTCTTCTCTTCCAGCAAAGAAAATCAGGTCCTCCCCACCCTTTTAAGACACAACCACCCAATTTTGAAGGACTGATTTTGGGGGGAAAGGTACATGTGCTATATTAGTGAATGTGGTAATTTACTTGTTAACATCACTGAGATAAATTGGAATAAGTTTGCACCCTTCAGTGCAAACTGGAATATGATCAGACTAAGACACTGTTCTGTAAATTTACATTTGGCAGTTTTTCTTTTTAAGTATGTGGAAAAGTTATAAATGTATAGTGTGAAACTACAAATCAAATTATGCAAAGCCTTTGAAACCACCAAATGATTATGACAGTTAACCACCAAGGACAAGTTTAGTACTGTTTAATATTGGCTGTAAGAGTGTTAAGAAAGATTGTTGTATGTACCAACCTCTCTTTCTCAGCTCACCTAGATCCTGGGTATAGACAGATACAGTATAACCATAGTATGGGTACCAAATCGTACAGGAGCTGTTACAAAACATCTTTTACTTCCTCATGATTTGGTAAGGAAAGAAGTGTAGCAAGCTGCCCCAACTTTCACCTGTTTCATTCAGGGTCAAAGTTAGGACAGTTTAACTAACTTGTAACATCACAGAGTCATGCAGACATAACAGTCGACATGTCTACACGAGATGGTAACTGTGCAGTAGCATCACTAAAAAGGCGTTTGCTGGCTCTACTGCACAGTAACTCTGGTATTGCAGTTATTCAGTATTTGATTATAAAAATACCAAATACATATACAGTAACTACTGCACAGTAGCGTCGTGTGTAGACCTGCCCAGTTAAACCATAACAGCTACCACATTCAGCCAAGTCTCATCTTCCCTTCTTTTTAAGTGGTTAAAATGTATGTTCATCCATATCTCCTGTTTTGATTTATTTGAAGTATTATGTAAAAACAGGAGTGGACCTTTTGTTAATTAACATTCTCTTCTAGTAAAAACTACCAGTGATATATATATATATGTCTGTCTATCTATCTAGACAGAGATCTCTATATATAGGGATAATTAGAGAAGTTTAATTAGATAGACACTTGCAATGCAGTAAGGACAATGGTGGATCAGCAGCATACTATGTCACAATAATATGAGGCAATGGGGACTACTGAGTAGACCACAGGACTGAAAGGGTGGAGACTGGATTCTGTTTCCAGGTCTTTTCACCAATCCTGAGCAATCTCACATTGCTGTAATTCAGCTTTCTGTTTTGTTAAATGAGGATAATTATACTTGTCTTTTTCAAAAGTTCTTTCTGAAATTTAAAGATCCAAAATAATTTTTGAGATCCTTGTACAAAATGTACTATGGAATGCAAAGGCTTTTGGGTTTGGGTTTGTTTGGAGGTTTTTTGGTTTTATTTTTAGATTGGTATGGATTTCTAGTGGGATTACACTTGGACTATTGAGTTTTTCTAGAAGATTATTGGGAAGTTTTTATAATACAAAATATAATTTCTGTTTAATGTAATATCTTTTATGAGTTGGATAATGAATATCTTTTCTCTTGCAGGGAAGTTGATCAAGATTCTGATGGTCATGTCAGCTTCAAAGAGTTTGAATCTGCAATGAACTATGGACAAGATGAAGTATCACCTCTGCACTTTGCCTAGTGTATTTTCTGGTGAAAAGACAAAGCAAAAACTTCAGATCTCAAGACAGTTTAAAAAAATCAGTGGAACTTCATTTGTTCCATGAGCATTTTAAAAAATCTGACTATAAATGGCAACTTTGAAGAACTGCCTTTGAAGCTCTTCTTTTGACAAGTAGGATGTAGTACTGTAATTTACATATATGCATATGTGTGGAATATTTACAGTATTTGGAATCTAACTTGTTCCTCAACTTACTCTCCTTGGCAACATGAATTATGTACCTTTTCTTTTTGGATCTATAGATGAAAAGACAAAGGTTTTTGTTTCAAGTTACTTTGTATTCGATCTCTTGGCTTTTTCAACAGTATTTCACTAACAGACCCAAATGTCTTATACTCCTTTATAAAGATTTTGCCTAAGACTAACTAGTAAAAACTACAGCTGATAAAACCAGTTCTTTTTAAACCCAGGTTCAACTTCTCCCACTGCTCCTGCTCTCTGGGTCTCTGGGTTATTCTTCCCTCCTCCAGCTTCTGCTTCCTGCCCCTACCCCTGGGGTAGGACAGGGAAGTCCACAGAGGATTTGGGAGCCTGAAGCCCACACAGAGGTCAAGGGGAAGCCTGTGCTGCCCACGCAGCATGCAGCCCAACAGGGGCCACAGCCTGCATGAGGTGCAGCTCCTAGTCACTCAGAAGTTGGACAATTCTATTTTAAATGGTCAGTTTACATGTTTTGCATATAAACACATTGCCTTCTTAATATAATATCACACATTGTTTTTCTGTGCAAGATTGTTCATTGGTCAGTTAAACGTGATTACATTCCAAAGCATCACAGTTTAAAAAATAGGAATTGAATATGTATTATTTAATAAGCATAAGAAAACAACGCTTAAGCATTTTTCAAATTGAATCAATTCTTTTTGAGATTAAAAGAAATTTCTAAAATGTGTTCATAAGGCCTGAATGTGGCTTGCCAAAAAAGTTACTTATCCAAATCTTCAGTTGATTTCCGTGAACACTTTGGCAAGATAGGTGCATTTCCTAAAACATGATGAGCTAAAACATAAGATAAAGTATGTCCTGGCTTCCACAGGCATGTGCTCATACACATTCTCCTAGCCAGTAGATAATGATGGAGGCGCATTTTATGAGATTCCCAGTTCTTTTAGCTTCAGACATGGCCATCCAAGCTACACAAGGGCTATCATAAATCCTTTGCATCTTATTCTTTATATAACCATTTAGCTTCCACTGTTTTCATGTTACCTTCCTTACAGATATTAGGAAATTTGATTCTGGATGTTGTAGCTAAGTTATGAAGTCTATTTTGTTGCCCCAATCTCTGCCTACATGTCAGCTTTTAGATAGTTAACTATTTGGAGATCAGGCTTCTCTTCCTGAATGTTAGGAAAGTACCTAGTACACAGTGCAGCTACCTGTAAATGCAAGTAGCAAATTTATTTGGGAGTAATTACTGCGCAGTACGGCACATGTAGACAGCCAACTGGGAGCAAATGTGCTCCCAGTCAGCTGGGCAACAGGGGACAGGAAATTGCTCCCTGCCCGCAGCCTGCTGCTGGGGCTGGCTTCACCACCAGGTCTCAACTGGGAACAAGGTCTCCCTGCCCTAGCAACAGGGAGCTCCCAGCTCCTGCTCCACAACCGTGAAACGGGCTGAGAGATTCTTATCTCCAGGCCTCAGGTCCATGACCTTGGAGCCCAGCCTGGGAAATAAGAATCTCCCAGCAGACAGCTCCCATAGGTAGGGAGCCATGTCCCAGGCTCTACCAAGAGACACCTGGCCCCATGCCACCTGGCCCCGTGCTCCCTGGCAGCCCCTAGTATAGCATCCAGGGAGAGCCAGGCCCTGTGAGGGTGGGAGCAGACTGCTGCCATGAGCAACACATTTGCTCCTGCTTCCCTACATGTATAGATGCCTGCCTGTGGAGAGTACTGCTTCTAAATTACTCTAGAGTAAACCCACCCCACAGCATCTGCATGTACAGAGATGCCCAGAGGTACTACTGTAAATAAGTATAAGATTCAACTGCAAGATGAGAGTAGATGCCAGTTCCACTCTGGGATAGGAGACAGGTCTCCAGATGTTTCATAGCTTAAGGTTAAAGGAAATACCTCCTTTCATTTATAACATCTGCAGGAAGCACAGAGATGACTAGGCTTGGCTTAATTTATGTACATCATTCATTTCTGACAGTGCTTTGTCTGAGTATATGCAAATAGATATTTTATATACAGTAACCAAACATGTCTTTGTGTGATTCATGCAATCCATTAACTAAAGAAGTTTCATCACTCAAATTACATTGTTTACCCACTCATAGTGAAAGAGAACTAGGGTTAAATTTGAAGGTCACATTAGCTTTTCCTCTACTATTTGAACTGTGGTTGTAAAGTGATGGAATAACACATAGACAGATGGGTTTTTTCTGTTGTTAGGTTATTTTAGGGTTTTTTTATATAGTGTTACCAATGACAAGCCACTTGAACAGAACTGCACATAGTATCTGGCACAAGAAGAAACTTCTTGTGGCAGCTTTAGCAAAATAAAAAGATCTAGAAAATGATGGCTTGGAGAACATAGGTTTCATTTTTTAAGAACTCACCTGAAAATATTCATAAAATATCTCCAGAGATTGACTGGCTCATGGGAAAGATAATGAGATCTAGAGCCTTTCAGTTTTAGTTCACCATTTATAAGTCATCCCAGGCAGGTAGTGGCCAGACATTGTTATCATAAGATCATTATTCAACAGCCTAATTAAAATGAAATGGGAGATTCCATTTCCAGGAAAATATGTAAATAAACCACATTTTAGGTGCTAACTAACAATAATATTGACAGTCGCTACAGAGGTGCAAAAGGTTGATTCATCCTTTGTCAGTTAGACTTGGCTGGGATGGTTTAGTCAGGGATGATCCTCCTTAAGCAGGCAATTGGACTAGGTGATCTCATGAAATCCCAGCCCTACTTTCCTATGATCTTCCCATGCAGACAATCCCTCCAGGTCTTGGCACATTAACACGACAACACATGAATGTTTGTAGTGTCACTGTTTGTATGTACCTGGTTTGGGGCTAGATTGTGGGTGCAGACAGAAGTGCAGCTCCCAGCTATACCTCAGAATGAGTTACAACATTACCCCAGACCTAACAGAAGTTCACTTTTGATTCCAGGGGAGGGGGAATGTAGCTGGGGCTGGGAGCCTGCAGCCAGGTTCCCATAGCAGTAGCCAGGCTCTCTGCCAGGGCTTCTGTTTTCAGAATGGGAAGGGGAAAAGGCAGTGGAGCAAGCTTGTTCTCGGGGCTCCCCAAACTGTGCTGGAGGGTGGAGTGGTTGAATTGGAGTCCCTCGCTCCCCCTTGGGGGCTCCAGTACACCCACCCCGCCCTCTGGGGGGCTGAAACCCCCCCAAACTGGACTCCCTCTGCTCCCTTTCCTCTTCCCATTCTGAAAACAAACACAGGCTGGGAGCTCTGCAGACACAAGTTACAGAAGATACTACATTTTGAAACATCTTTATCTGATAATTCATGTAATGAGGGGTCAGATTTTCACCCAATCAGACATTTTTTAAGCTGCTTGCAGCTGTGCACTTGTGTTTGGTCACAACTATAAACTGCTTTCTGTGGCCAGATCAGGTGAAAATTGTCACCTCCATCTGCATCTAATAATTCTTCATGATGGCTAGTCCCAATACCTTTTGTGAACACAAAGTATATATAATATTATTAATAATTTTCTATCAACTTGGGGCCATGTTTGATATTTAGGAAGTATTCCTCTGCAAAAAGTATTAATACTCAAGAACCTGTTGGCTCTGTTTAGCTCAATCTTTCTTGTAAGTCTGAATATTACTATACATTTAAATATTTGGTGGTGTTTGCAGTATCTAGGTGTTATACCATATCTGTTCAAGATTATAGTAGAGGCCAAGATCTTGATGCATTTTTCCCCTTTAAGAAATGCCCAGGCATTCCAGAGAGAAGAAAGTTCTCAATTTCTTTTGGCACTGAAAAAGAGAAAGTACTGTCATAAAGAACTTTATTTGTGCAGACATCCTATTCACAATCCTTTTAGCAAAACTCAAGGAAACACCATAAATATACATGAACTTGGATATTAGGGGTAGAATTTCCCATAGAAGTTCGTAGCACAAGTTTGATTTCCAGATTCATAGAGCTTTACTCAGTAATCCACAGCTGTAGATAGGCATTACATTTGTAGTGCTGAACACACTCTTTTACCACTGCAAATAGTGAATATATAGGGTGACCATATGGGACAATGTGATATCTGGGACACCCTGCCCTCCTACCCGCAAGTCAGTGGTGCTGTTGCAGGCACAAGCAAGGATAGGATGGTGTAGTACAGCTCTGATATTACTATTCAGGCACTTAACGGCGTCAATGGCCCATTACCAACCCATTGTTCTTTACTTCACAGGTGTTAACAATCATCTCCCCTTTTTCAAGATCACTCCACTATTCAAGTTAAACTATTTTAGGGCAATTTTGCTGTCTACCAGGGCTTCCTGTTTCACAGCTTGTGCTACACTGTCTCCCCGCCTAATGCCTGACACCCAGAACACTTTTTTTTAATTTTCACCAGCTGGCTTGGACCAGCCTCCAAAATCTGGGACTGTCCCCACCACTCTGGGACGTTAGTGTTGCCCTTTTAGCAACTTGTTTCTTTTTCCAAGGAAAACCTGTGTCCTGAGAATCTTTCTTCCTTGTTTTGGATGGTTTTAGCTTTTCTCGGTGAGGGCTTATGGGGCTGGTTATATGTCAAGCAGCATTCTTAATATATCAAATGCTGCCATTAACTACCTGATATAAACGTTACATGGTTATTTTGGCAGAAAAGTTTTTCTTTTGCTCTCTGGGGCTTCTATCATTTGCTATAGAACTGGTAAAATCTAGAGTGGGAGTCAGGATCAGGGCCAAAACTGGCAAGGGAGCCAGGGCTGAAGCAGGAGCTGGGAAAAGGACAGATACTAAAGCTGAAGTGGTTATCAGACACTCTGGGAGCAAATTGAGGATATATCCACAGCTGAATTTGGAGGCGTCAGGGACAGAACTAGAGCCAGAGTCTGAGCCAGATTCAGGAGCTCTGGGAACTGAGCAAGCCCTAGAGCTAGAGCCCGAGTCTAAGTGAGCATCAAGAACAGAAGGGGAACTGGAGCTGGAACTGAACCAAGCAGAGGCAGCAAGAATGGAGCTGGAGCCAGAGTCAGAACAGGCCTCTGGTGCTTCAGGGACAAGGCTGGAATGGACTACAAGCTTCACCTCAACACTTTCAGGGTTACTGCTGATGGCCTGGCCCAGAGGGAATTAAACAAGTTGTCTAGGAGGAAACTTAACCTCTCCAGCAAAGGTCAAGCCCAATTCAAAGGAGAAAGGAGACTGATTATCATACCCACCTTCACCTTGACAGAGAGGTAGATCTGGGGGGCATGGAGTAAACAGGCAGTAGCACTGGTGTAGAAACCCCACAAACTTCCCAGGGCTGCCATCAAAGAGTTAACACAGAGGTGCCTCTGGCTCACAGGCAGTCTAAGAAAGGCCCAGTGGTTGAGGCACCCCATCATGGGGAATGAGGCTGCTCTTCAGCAGTTACTTTCTGGGGAAAACTAAAGCCAAGCTGTAAGGACTGGGCCATGGGCAGTCTTGCCTAATGGGGAAGGGCAGGAGCCAAAACACAGGCTAAGTCAAGGATCAGGAATCAGTGACCAAGTTATCAGACCCAAAGGGAAATCCAGGGGCAGAGTCCAAATCACAAGCCAAGCCAAGGTTCAGGAGCCAGAAGCTGGTGCCAAAGTCAGGGTGAGCCAGGAGACAGAGCTGAAGTTAGGCTGAACCAAGAATGAGAGACCAAGTTATTGGATCCAAGGGGACTATCCAAAAGCAAACAAGCCCCCCAAAAAACAAAGTCCAGAAATAGATTCAAATAGAGTAAAAAAT